TCAACATTACTGGGAGGTAATAGAGGAAGTGGATAAATGTTGCTATCTGGACAGATATCTCACCTGACGGACGCGTCCCAGATGGAGTATCGACTGGCAAAGCGAAGGCGCGATCGGTATTTGCTGATTTGGGACATCTGTGGGGCCGTCGCGACACCGGGCAGTCTATGGCGGGTGGAGGTTAAGATGTAGCAGTTCAACCAGTGCTGCTCTACGGTGCAGAAACGTGGCCATTGCGGGAACAGGATAAAAATAGATTGTCGGTGTTCGAACACCGCTGTGTACGTCACATTGCAAGAGTCTGGTGGGGTAAACGCATGAGCATTGCTGAGGTTAGTCGCAGAAGTTTAGGTAACCGCGGTCGTCCACTGTGCAGGTAATTGACATCCATAGAATACGCTGGGTAGGTATTGTGTTGTTCATGTCCTCAGATAGGTTGCCACGGTGAGCGATGTTTCCCGAGGCAGTTAGCGATTGGAAACAGGTCAACGACGATCAAACTAAGACCTAGCAAGAGGGTCTGCAAACCCTAACCAGGAGACTTGGTCGCGTAGATCCCGTTAGACTCACAGGTTGGGGACCCCGAGATCGATGATTAGAGATACCGAGCGATATGGCTGAGTGTCTCAAACAGTGGCGCTCATACATTTACTCAGTATTGTTGCAACCTAAATCTATATGAATTCTCTATCTTCCGGTTGAATTTGCTCTGAACATTCCAATTTGTATTCTGCTCTTTTATCTAAATGAGCGGCCAAAAGACAATAACCAAAACCGGTGCACTTTCGTGCACCGGTTTTGGTTATGCAAACGTTTGCAAACAAATTGCCAAGCTCGGCGAACAGGCGAAATGGAATTCAGTTCACCCGAGCTACGAGAACCGATTTTCAATATTTTGTCAACATTGGTTATGTAGATTGAACCACACACAGGAATAATTGCTGTCCATGTTGCACCCAGAAGGGCGGTAGTTGCACTCACCGAGTGTTTTTTATGACTCGTGGAGGTGGTATTGCGCAAAGTTCTACAGCAGTTTTACCACACCCATTTCTTGCAATTTTTGTAATGCTTCTACACACTGTGCAGCTCAAAATTTTCTGTACATTATCTTGATTTTGTACTGCAGCGAGCGCCAGGAGTAGTAGATGAGTTCATGTAATTATACGGCAAGGCTGAGGGTGTATATAATATCCATATGTGGACATTTGTGCAATGATTTTGGACGACACGGCGTATTGGATAATTTTCCAGCTTCTCCATATGATTGTTTTATGTAAACAATACGCCAGTGTGTTTCATCTAGATCTATATTGGCTGAGCAAATCTTCCATAGAAAGATCGAGCGTCCTGGTCAGACAGCGGCCACTGAACAAACATCGTGCTTGGATGACATCGGATCTAATGGAATTCGACTTCCGGGTTCCAAAAATGATTACGCGGCGTTAGATGAAGCAGTTATCTGTACGAATCACCCACACAGCTATGTGCTCATTGGTTGTTGAGTTTTGGTGTCTCTGGATGGTGTGCAAACATTTGTTTCGGCATGTAATTTTTTTTAAAGCCCAGTTCCGTCATCACACCTGGGAGTATGCTTGTGCGATTCTCTAGGTGAGTCAGTCAAACGCGTAGCGTTTGACAAATTATTATGCAAAGATCTAATGAGAATGCACAGGTATTCTACCCAATAATTCACGCTTGCCGCTCTCGACCGTAAGATAACCGCACACTTACCATTATTATCATATTTTTAGATGTTTTATGTAATTGAGTTTATCTCGGAAGATTCCGGAGCTGTTGTCCCAGATTCCTGGATGGTGGGGCCCGACAGAACCAAATGACCGCGCCACGGTGTGTTCAACATTGAAAGTATCGTCAAACAGGGGTTGCCAACACCACCGAGTTGTGCGATTTATAGATTGGAGGAACACAAAGTTATAAGTAAATCGATTCGATTATACATCGCACTTTTAGATGACTTCGAGGAGGCCGGCGCATTGTCTAACTATCTTTCGGAACATACAAATATATGTTATCCGATGCCACTATTCCTATGGATCGGTATGGTAAGAGGAAACCGCAAGAATAATTGGTTATATTTAAACTGCAAACCTATAAGAAGCCCGTTGTGCACTCAGATACAAGTTCAGAGGATGTTGCCACTTTCAAGCATCCAATCGATCTCGATTTTTCTGTAGTAAGCATAGAATGCACCGATCATGAAATAAGATTTGATATGGCACCGTGTATATGAGGTCCAATATGGAACATGGGTGAATTTTTCATGTGATACCTTTTGGATGACTTTCGACATTACTGGGGCATATCAAACACATTTATCTATTTACTTATTTACTTAGCATTTTTCTATACCCTTTTGGATGTAATAATGCTATTATTTTTTATATTTCTGTTTTTTCTGTATTTTATTGTTGGTAACATCGTCCTTTATGTATAGTAATACCATACATTTTCATCACGGTTCTGAGGCATTTTCACAAACCTCTGTTCGATATCTCTCTTCAGGCATTTGAGTATATACTTTGATTAGTCAGTAGATTAATATAAGGACTAGGCTAAAGTTCAGTGAATGTCTATGTGTAAAATGTTCGTGTGAAAACAAGTTATGGAATCATGATAATTGGATAGGGAAAAACTGGACGGAAAATGTCCCAAGAATGAATAAAACAGGTGTGAAAGTGTGTGAAAAAGACAGCAAATGAGGAGTGGGCAGATGGAGAGAATAGAAAGTGTCACACAGAGATATGCGTAATTGTTCTTATGATCATGGTAACAACAGCACCTGAACCAGATCGCATTGCTCACACAATTCCGGCTTCATGATCCTAATTGCTATGGCTTCCGCAATTGTCAGGATCTTCTTACGTAATCCTTTGGTGTGATTCTTAGGTGCAATGATGAAACTTGTAAATTCTGTTTCTGGGTCAATCCTGTGTCCACTGTTGATCGGATGTTTTAGGATTGAACTGTTCAAGCATCTCATTGTTCCTTTTCGAAGAACGGAGGGACAATGTGCAGATATTCTCTTGGACAAAGATTGGGACTGATGAGAATGTCCTATGGCGTTGTAGGCTGAATTGCCAAAGCTATTGCTAACTGTTTTCAGGCAGCAAATGTAGTACTCGTAGTAATTGTAGTATGCACTGATCACGAAATACGAATCATGGATTAGCAATGACGGACGAGACGTAAGCACTGGATCACACTGGTATTTGCACACAGTATTCCACTTAACCGAGACGCGAGGAAAAAGGCCACAGGAATAGCAGTTCGTTTATTGAAAGAAATTAGGGGGGTTAAATGATATATACAAAACAAATCCATTGGTCATCCAAGCCTCTGCCAATCGCGTGCTAGTATTCCTGATGTTGTTCAGCTTCTGTCTGGGCCGCAAGGCTATTGATTGGTTGGTACAAGCGGCCTATGGTCTGAGGTGCAGAAGCTGTGGCACGTACGCCATTTGCTGACGTCACCTGGGGAGCTTGATTGATCACAATAGTCCGAAAACTGTAACGTGGTGTGCGTCATCTCGTAGGCTAGAATCACTACAACTCTCCTCCCTCAAAAGAGCCTCGTCGATTTGGCTTGCTCTCCTGCTTGGTCGTCCAAGCGCCAGTGGGTTATTATCATCGATAAATGTTCCAGGAGTATGGGACTACGACCTTTGGGCTTCTATACTTGTTAACGGCGTATCACTGGGCGGGTTTTCTCGGATCTGTTCTGTAGGGTCCTCAACCGAATTAGGAGGCTCATTGAAACGAATCTGGTCGGCATGGCGTCCACGAACTGTCGCGTCTGTCAGGTTTGAGATTGCCACCATAGCTTGGCCAATCATTCGATGATTCTTTTTGCTGGTCTCAGATCTTTTCTTCGGAAATACACGACGTCACTCGAATCCACGCGTTGTAATGAGGCCCCTAAACTTCCAGTTTTGAACAATTTCGCTGAATTCTCTTTGGGGGTGGCATATGGAGCATTTCGGTGTTGCAACAAGAAGTTGTCCAGGGGTATCTCCAACTCTGACATTGTCTTTGGGCTTGCCGAAGCAATGGCGCTCTTTAACATTTTCATAAATTTTTTCAGCTGCACCTTTTTAGCAGGGATGACGTGGGGCTGTGCTCAGCTGTCGGCAACCAATACTGTCCAACGAAGTTTTCAACTCCGCAGAGCAGACCTGCAATCTCTTATCGGTCACCAACACTTGTGGAACGCCTTCTCGACTGAAGCACTTTCTTAGAACCCGCATCACAATTGCTGTAGTCGAAATACTGGTTAGAAACACTTCCGGCAACTTTGAGAACGAGTTGATGAGTGCTAGTGCGTGATAATGATCGAGGAACAGCCTATAGAAGTCGGCATGGACGCCTTGCCAAGGAACGCAGCTTTCTGACCATGGTACCCAATTCTTCGGTTTTGAATTCTGCTTGCATCGCAGTTCGACCAATGTCTTCATCTAGGCCGAGCCAACAGCACATCTGTCGTGCCGACGATTTAATCTTTCCCACCCCTAAGTGGCCCTTGTGTAGATCTTCTAGTACTGCCTTGCTTAGTGGAGGTGGCATGATCAGTCGATTGTCGCAGCATAGTATTCCACCAGGTTGTATACTGATTTCTTCTCGGTGCTCGTAAAATGGTGGGAACCTCCGCTTCAATAGGGCTGTAATGATCTCTGCATAGTATCACTTGATGAATCTGCGCAACTTCCCTAGTGATACCAGGGCAGCAGTAGCAGTGAAACAGCATCTCTTAGGCACCAAGAATCTGTACCAATGGGAGAGAAAATCGGCTTGAGGAATCGTTTTGCCTGAACGGTGCACAATATCGTAATCGTAGGCAGCCAGTGCAATGCTTCATCGCTGAATCACCTCCGCCGACGGTTTGGAAATCGACTTTTGTGGACTGAACAGGCACTGCGTTGCTCGGTGATCGTTTACAATGATGAAACACAGGCGAAACAGGTATTTGTGCAGGCGTCGGACGACCTAATATACAGCCAATGCTTCTTTCCGCGTCTGCGAATAGCCTCGTTCTGCCGTGTTCAATAGACGAGAGATGCAGACAATCGGACATCCGTCCTGTTCGAGGACGGCACCAATGCCAAAATCTGATGCGTTAGTGATCAAAGTTGGATGTTTCTTCGGAGAGAACGAGGCAAGTACTAGCCGGTTCGTTATCATCTGGATGATTTTGCGCATAATTTGTTCACACTTGGCCGTCCATTTCCATTTTGCGGTCGATTGAGCAGCGCAAAGCCGTTCAGCTTTCCTGGCAAAGTTCGGGATGAAACGTGAATAGTAGTGGAGACATCCCATGATGGATTTCAGTTGGTATTGGTCTTTCGGTGATTCGAGTTCAGGCAATGGACGAAAACGACCTAAATCAGGACGGCAGCCCTTCCCATCAACTGTGAAGCCCAAGAATTTCAACTCCAGAGAACTGAGTATATATTTGGTGGCTCAAATCGACACATCCTTTTGAACACAACGCTTCAGTAGTTTGAGAAGTCTGTCCTCTTGCTCGGCCTTTGCTGTATCAAACACAGTAACATTGTCCTGATATGATAACACACCATCGACTCCAGGAATGACCTCATCAATGACTGCCTATAATATGCCTGATGAAGTGTGGAGACCAAACGGCTGGAAGTTGTATTGATGCAATCCTCACGGCGTGTTGATGATAATGAATTGTCGGCAGACCGGAACGAGAGAAATTTGAAGGTATGCATCTGCCAAGCCAATCTTTGAAAAGCATGTGCTGCCATGCAATGCTTTCATGAAATCTTCTGGTTCCAGGGTGGTGGCCGCACCCTTCCTCAAACGCGGGCTCAGGGTCAACCGATAGTCACCGAAAATTCGTGATGTCTTACCATCACTTTTGATTGCTACCACAATTGGTGTTGCCCACGCGCTTGATGTGACTCCAGTGATGGCGCCATCACGCTCCATTTTCTCAATGACTTTCAATAAACCTTCATGTTGGCCATGTTGGATTATGCGCCGTTTCATAAAGATCGGCTCAACGTCAACTTTCATTTTGGCCGGCTGAACGTTCATGCCTCCAGTACTGTTGAAATATTTCACGATTAAGCGCTGCAGATGAGTATGTACATTGGGCGCGATGCTCGTATGAAGTGACATCGAGTGGTTCAAGGTATTAAAGGCAGCTAAGTCAAGTATGGATGGACTGCTTTTGACAAGTAAGAAACGTATGGGAACAAGGCGATGTTCTGTGAAGTGCAACACCAGTGAAACCTCATCCATCAATGGCAGTTTGTGCCCCGTCTCACCAAGTATTTGCACAGACTTCGGACGGATTTCGGCTTGAAGACAGATCGACCGAAGCACCAGTATAAATCATAGATTCCGTGCTTCTTGTGTCAACGATGAATCTTTGCTTCTTGCCCGACTGTAGATTCACATCTTTGCATAAGAATTGAGCACATTGACTTTGGTTTCGTAGAGAAAGCACAGGGAGTTGATCGACACCCGCCAAAACGTCGATTTGGTCAAGTATTTTGTGCAGTTGGGAACAGCCAGAATGATGTCATGGTCACAAATTAAAACAGAAGTGCCGAAAGTCGACTTTTATATAAGTCCCCGGAAGATCGTGATCATTATTAATTATGACAGAAAAGAATCAAACAATTTTACAAAGGTTATATGGTAGACTTGGTTTTAACCACAGGGTTGGGGGGACGATATAACAGATCAAAGTCCACTACAGAGGACTGTTTCGTGGGTGACGGCAAAAAGGTGGAGCGTGCCTTTTGCGAATTCGCGTGTTCTCGTGAAGTGTTTAGCGACAAGTTCACGAGGCCCAACGCAAAAGATTGCAATTTATTTCGCGTTTTTTATGGCCGGGTAAATTGCAACCAAGATTACCTGATGTAAAGACGATATTGAACACCCACCAAAAGAGAGCACGAGTGGGTTTAATCAACAAATTTAAAACGCGTCACCCGTCCATTTGGCGTTAGGTTTATCTCACTGATGGTCAACGAGCAATAGAACGGGCGGAGAAAGCTGGTCTATTGACCTACTTTTCCGGGAATATCATTCATTCTATCAAAAAATGTAAATAGCCATCCAGCCTTATGAGTTGAGCGGGAAACGATTACTTAGCGCTTTGTTTTTGGTCTCCCTTATTTGCCACTCTGGATATCGTGAAATCTGTTGCGCTGATGAGGCAGGTTTTTGGTAACTGTCACTCTCGAAATGCATTCACGCACGTCACATTCTCCCCAAATAAGGACTACCATAACATCTCGCGCGAGGATCGTCGTTGAAAACGTTAAGACCTCAGGAAATATTGTCTTTTTTAAACTTATGCAGTTTGTTTAGTGGTCAAGTTCAATGTCAAATTCATTAATCTGCCACCCAGCACTTGGGATTTGTATGTAATTGAAAAATTTCCTTGTGCTAGAAACAGAGATAAGTTGGCAACTGTGACAATGGTCGTCATTGGCTAGGGTCCGCTATGTATTAGAGGACAGTGCCAAATGCTGTTTGACAATCAACGTAGTGAACTCCATACAAAAACGACTGCACCTAGTGCTCGAAAACAAAGAACGGCAAATGGAACATGAACAACATGAAGATGAAATACCTGTAGCATTCATAGGAGTCATTTTTCAAACAGAGTCTGATGTTTATTTACTGCACCTTTGAGATTTTTGAAATGATGCACCAACAACCGTCGTCGAAATCGAGAAATGGTACACTTTATTGGCATCGAGTAACAAAGTCAAAAACATAATTCGATGTTAGTACAGACATGTTGCGTCTGTTGAGGGAACAGGGTGAAGAAGGTTCGAACCATTAAACGTTAGGAAGAACAAATGTGATGAAGCTCAGGGTGTTGTACGAGACTGGTCAATATCGATGTATCTAACCGGAAACGAAACATCATCCTGTGGCTCAAGATCGCTACTGTTCACCTCCAGTGCCAACCAAGTTTCCAATAATTATCATATTGTAATCTCTGGGTGGATACCTTAGGTTCGACTTATTGGCTCAATTCACGCAACATATTTCCCTTCTAAAAAAGAACCTACGGCAAAAATTAATTGTGAACATATTTTATTAACCTTTTATTCTTACCAGACCACACAACGTACCTCGACGAACTCCAAAATACAGGGATTGCACTATAAACACGAAAAATTTCCACTGATTTCGTCCTTCACGATATTTTGTTTACTGCATGGTAGTACTTTCACTCTTGCTGAAAATGAGGATCAACGGCCATGGGAGGAGTACCGTCTCTTTCTCTCTGTGGTGCCACGCGGCGCAAAACAACAAAACTCTCCAATCACCCTGGCCCCAAATTGATGATCAACATCACCGCCACCACCAACAATCGGATCACAATCAGTCTTACCCGAACACAGACATATAGGGCTTACCCCACCCCTCTTCTCTCCCCATCCCAAATGACCTTTCGACCCAGTATGAAGATGTGTCCGCACTGACAACAAACCCTTAGATGATCTCTACAGGCAGGATTATGAATCATTCGAAAACATTTGTCCGCCTTCGGATTTGTGTTCTGATGTTACAATGGGATTATTCTGGAATTTAAAAACAAATGCATTTATTTGACCACGTGATTATCTAAATTTTGTCTCAAAGCTTTTCAAAACGATGTTCTTACTTTTGGATTTTTGTCTCTTTTCGTTTTCTTTCCTTTTCTCCTTCTCTCTGATAAGGTGTACCAATATGTACTCACTCCTCTTTCATCTTAAATGACATTCCCTAGAACCAGGCAATGCTTTCCACGACAAGCGCCAAAGATGGTTGATACGCCAAAAACGATTCACTCGCCGCAGCTGATACATATCCCGTCTAGCCGGAATACACCAACCCCTTGAAACGGATCCGCATAACGTAGAAGTCTGTGTGCGTTTTCAAAGTTTGAATCAACGTTAGTAGCACAACACTGACATTATTTTATCAAGTTTCGTAGATAGCGATACGGAGGTGAAATTAGAAGACACTACTAGATCAAAGTATATACATACACATATGTATGAACGATGCAATTTAGTCTTATTCTAATACCACAGTGCACATGTCGGTGAGATTATCAATAACAGAAGGAGTATAAACCTCAACGAAACCCTGGCATTTTTGAATAACAAATCCGCACACGTTCGAACATGAAATTTGATAATCAAGCTGAAAACTATCAGACTGCAGATCGACCAGATTGTGTCAATAATATTTGGGTTAAAGGTCGTGTGCTTAAGTCATGTGAACATGACCGTTTAGATTTGTGATTTTAGTCAAAAGTCTAGTCGACATGGTGTGACTGACACAGATTGGAATGAATAGGTACCACTNNNACCACTAAACCTCCAAGCAAATAGTTTATCAAAGTAGTCACTCAGTTCGGTTATGAAGGCAAGCTAGCGTAAACCAATCCCGGATTAAATACATCCTGATTTTATACCAAGATTAATTTATATGTATATATATATATATTTAACACCGGCTTTTAGACAAGCATGATGCTAACAGTGCAACAATAATAACAAAACAATATTAGGGGATAAGTAGATTGGGGTACAGAACAGAGTGGAAAGAGGGTGGAACAGCTAAACGCGGGAAAATGGAAGATAACTGGGATAAGAAATTATTTTGTGTGTTTCGACGTACACGTTTTTATATTTTTTCTTGTATTGTTTGTTGTTTTTACGGGGCGCGGGATTTCGACAGGCAGACCGTACAGCATTCGCGCCACTAACCTCTATTCTGGGCCATATCTCCCAGTGTCTCTAACCAACGACGATCGTCATCCCTTGGGCCCCAACCTGGAAGGCAGGCTGCACCAACCGAATACAAAGCTCAAGCTAGCTTCTTCATACCTCTACGCCATGTCATGGTCTGACCACCGAGGCGCTTCGTTCAGCCTTTCCCGGCACGTGTAAAGAGAGCACGGAAAGAAAGTCGATTGGCAGGCATATGCAAGACGTGACCAAGCCATCGGAGGCGATGTAGAGCGATTACTTACGTTAGAGAACGACTATCCACACCAAAATACGATGACGAACCTCGTCATTACTCACTCGGTGTTCCCACCAGACACGAGCAATGCTTCGGAGGTATCGGTGGTCGAATACAGACAATCGATTAGCATCCTCAGCGCGGAGGGGCCAGGTCTCGCAACCGCAAAGGAGAACGCTACGAACCGCGGCGATGTACACCCTTCCCTTAAGGAACGGTCGGATGTCATGGGGGCGCCATAGGTGTCGCAGGTTGGCGAAATCTGCTTTAGCTTACGCCATTCGTGATGTGATCTCCTCCCTAAC